ATCAGCTCTAAAGAGTTTGTCAAGGCTTAATTCAGCAGCCAGGAGCTGGCAAATTGCTATCCAAAACATAAGATGTGACTGCAAGTAGTATGTGCTAGAGAAGGTAACCTAGTTGTGCTCATGAATTTTGGGCTCACTGGATTATGTACACTTGGGTGTCACTAAGTGGTAAAAATATTATTATAATGTTGTTATAGTGACTGTCAGTCTATTTATATGAAAACCACATTCTAAAGACTCTATCCATTTAGATGCATTTAGAGGCATCCATTTAGACATGTGGAAATTTAATACTTTTTTCTTTTTTGAAGCATGTTAGGATTTGTGTTGCTTACACATCTGTTAAATTTAGTGAAACAGTCAAGCTGGCCTATGAAAACCTATGTTTCATGGTAAATTCACTTAGTTACAAATTCTTTTGGGTTCCACTGCTTTCCCAGTATCCTGCATATGGAGAAAGATAGACACCAGGAGTTAGTTTTGTAACTTAGGAAAACACTAGGTAGGTAGATTGGTAGGATTATGCCTAAACTCAGATCTGTGTATGTAGAGACAATATATGTCTGTATGTGAATATATCTTTTTTACTCCTTAGAAACTATTTTTAAGAATACTTCTGCAATGATAAAAGGTTGTACTACAACATGGTTTCTATGTCCTTTTTCATTCTTATGTCTCCATTCCTCTTTTAAGAAGAGACTTGAATATAGTTTTCTTCTCATGTAAAAAATTGTCAAGACTTGTCCCTAAACTTAGTGCATCTTACAGCTGTGTGCAAAAAGCTCTCCATACCTGTCCTTGCTCATGTTTTCAAAACCAGCTCTGTGTTCTGGTAATGTGGTTGTCAGAAACTTAACAGTTGTGACCTGAAGGATGCAACAGTAAAGGTCACAGAGCCTAAATACATATGATTTTTTTTCATGTAATGGGGTTTTTTTGGACCACTTTCTATCCATGTGTTTTGTAAGTATTCAAAGCGTATATTTAACTAACTGAACTCAAATTTGATTGAAATGCACAGACACAAAAAGATACCATGTCATGAAGAAAACTATAATCTAGTTTTTATTTTCCCTAGAATTAATGCATACACAAAAACAATTAAAGTGTAATACAATTTTTAAATTATACATAATATTGGTGCATATTTTGCATATACAGAAATTTACTCAGAAACAGATATTAAATTATTAATCATATCTTGACAAGAAAGTGTCTTCATTCTTGTTGCTCATTTTGAAATGAGTAACAAAATGTTAGATTCTCCCCAAAAAAAACCCAGATTATTGATGTACAAGTAAATTGGGCAGGAACATTTTAATTTAGTGAGATTTGGGTTTGTTTGGGTTTTTCTTTTTTCATAATTTTAAAGCAGAAGCCATTTCATTTTAGTCCTCTGAGCCTTGCAGTATCTGTAGCTGTGGAACTGCCTCTGTTTCAGGCTTCTAAATCAGCAATGAACTGATCATATGAAATACTTTTCTGGATCTTTTTTAATTTGAACATCCGTTATAAAATATTAGAAGTTCATCTTTCTTTTCTTTGTAACAAAATCTTCTCAGTGATTTTTCCATAGAAAGATCTCAGAAATTTTCTTTTAGTTTTGTTGTTTTTGTTGAATTAGTTGCAGTTTCTCCCCAGAGTTTTATCTTTGGTCCTCTTGCTGTCTCTGAACATGTTTGTCTTTGGCCTGGGCCCAAGAATTATGTGTTCCCCAAAACCGCAAGCCTGAATCTGTTGACAAGTGAGATATCGTGGTCAGACGGATGAAACTGGTAGACTGCCATTCAGTCCACCCACTCTCATGACAAGGATGTGCTGTGTAGTTCTTTGCACATTATATTTGGCTTCAAACAAGAAAAATAACATCTTTAATATATTTCTCTGGAGCTGTTCTAGAGGAGCAACTTAACAACCTTATTTGTACCATCTAGTTCATATTTCAAAACCATAACTATGTCCAAATTATACCCTAGAAATTTTGCAAGTTGTGGTGGTAATTGTGTGTTCAATGCATTTTTTTATCTTTCACAATACTTTCTTATATAACCGATTTTGCTCTGTTTTTGTAGTAGAATTTTGGTGCTCAATATATCTGCTAAATTGTATTTTGTAAGACACCATAATGGGAGACTTATGATTGTCATAAAGGCTTGATGAAAATTTCATTTTCCTTGTCACAGATGGAAGTGAGCAGGTTAAGATGCAGATTCTGCTGATGTGTTCTTCATTCATATTATCTTCAAAAAAATTAATTGTATACTTGTAAATGGGATGATATTTTAAAAAAGAAATAACAAATAACTTCATCAGAGCAGTATTACTAAGAATCTGCACTGCCCAACACCTTGGTTTTTGTGAAACAATAGGATTTAAGCTGTTGTTAATTGCTACCCCAGAAATCTTCTGTTCCAGATCACCTTCCTGTGCTTCCTCCTAAATGTCTCAGTAGTCAAAAAATTGTTGCTGAAAATTGTATTTGAGAAGACATTGATGTAAACTTCAAGCTTATTGGATTCTGTGCAGAGGTTTGAACAAGTTCATATTTCATGGGTTTTTTTCAAATGCCGTCAAAGCAAAGATGCTTTAGCCTCTCACATTTCATCTGGGCACTCATTCTTCAGTGCCTTAAATACAGAATCCCATGTTTAAGTAATGCATACTAACGGGAAGTTATGTTTTCAACCATTTCTCCAGAATCCTGCAATACTTGCAACTAAGTTATGGCTGCATTACTAAAGATAATGATCAAAAAGTCATATATATCAGAAGGTAGAAATGGATGTCTATAAACTGATTTATAATTATTTAGAGAAATGTTAAGGCTCCATGTTCAGATCTTATATTTGTTCCTCACCCCCTTTTTTTTTTAACTCTTACAGGTTTCTTGCAGGGCCGTAGGGTGTGCTTAGATTTTTAGTCTTTGAAAGGTCAAGAACCTGAAGAAAATCCTTCTCTAATTTGCAGAGTTTCTCTGAATTTTCTGATCTGAAACCATGTGAAGCAACCTGAAATGATAAGTCTACCCCATTACTGTCCTCTAACTGTACTCTTTACAGCCTGACCCAAATTTTAGGTGTACAACAATACATGCTAGCCTGGTTTCATATACAGTAGCTACAATACGGGCAGTTAACTGTGTTTTGGACAGACAATGGAAATGCAGGGTTTGTTACATTGTTAAAGACATTGTTTCGCATATAGATATTTTTAAATATTTGCATTTGTGTCTTATAAATTTCCATAGCTTTATCTCAGCAGACTGGCTTATCATGTCAAAAATACCACTATAGCTTTAGTCAGGTGCCCTTTGAAATTCATTAATTGTTTTTTCATCCAGAGTGAACCCAGCAGCAGCTTACACAGAGCTGTCTACCTCCCACACATTGCCTGTGCAGTCAGGGCTATCCCCAGAGCTCAGTGGTTCCCATTCCATGAGTCAGACCTTGCTGATGAGGTGGAAGATCCCTATTACAGGTAAAGTGCACGTCACACTTTCATCTGATCTTACTTGAGCTCCTGTGACTAGTCAGGAATGGAATATTACTGGTTTTCCAAGCAAACCTCAGCTTTTAAGAAGTGGGAAACTGTGCTATAGATAGTAAGGTTTTCATCTATAACAAATTAAATTAGATATCTAGACATGTCACATAAGTCTTCATTGAGAAAGGGATCTTTATTTCTGTCTTCATTTCTTAGGAATGTCACTTCACAGGACATATAACTGCTAAATTTGAGGGTTTAGTCTTTATAATAGACTGGGTACCAGTTTAGACTCCATGGTTTACCTCACCAGATTTTGTTTTAATCTACTGGCAGCTCTACTTAACAAAAAGTAAGTTTTCAATTTACAACTGTTTTGTTTCAGAGTTTTTCTATCAGGAATTCCATCCCTACTGTCTATTTTATACACAGTTTCTGAGCCACTCTACCATAAAATGAGCCACCAGTTCCTGCCTGTAGTTGAAGGTTACAGGTGAAAATGAACAGTGTATGAGAAAGGAGAAGTGTCAATGTTGTATCTTTTCAATTCATCAGTATAAATTTCTCCTGTACTATAAAGCTGTGTTTGGCAGAGCAGCAGACCATAAACACCAAGGAACTGATTTACTGAAAGTTAATAATTTCAGAGGTCTGGTCATCCTTGGAGGATTCCTAATGAATGTGTGTGGGAGTTGTAATTTTCTTGTATTTAACAGTTGCTAATGTATTATTGTAAGATTAATTCCTCAAGAAAGCCATCATTTTGGAGTTTCTAGGTATCAGGAAGAATATATAATGGTAACAATTCTATGCTTTCCTCTGTATTCCCTTTGTTTGAGACCATCAAAAAAGTCATGGCCACTTTCAAGGCTCCAGAGTCAACTTTTCTTCCGTTTGACCTGGACCTGTAAATGAATCATTTGCATCATCTATTTTGTCATTCACATTTAAGATTGATTTATAAAAACCCCAGTGTCTTGCATGGTTGCTTAGCTCTGGTCATTACTCCTCCACTTCTGCCTTCACCTTTTATTTCCATAGTACTTGCTGCTGCTTTTTCTTCATCTTCATCCTCCCTTCCTTTCTTGTCCTGGGAATTTCTCCATTAAGTTTGAACTCTCCTGTTCACCATAAAGAGTCTAGTTCTATGGTTGAACAATCCTTCAGCACCAAGAGATCTTTTTAACCTTCCTCCACCTCCTTTTGAAACCACTTTTACACTTACTTTCCCCCAGAATAATTTTAATAATTGTTTTCATATCATCATATCTTCCTTGGTCAAATGACCAACTGGAAAAAATACATTTACATCACAACATTATGTTACCTTGAGGAGCACAGCAAGGCAGTAATAGCACCTCTGAAGCCAGAATGTACCTATGCTAATTGTTGGCTTAGAGGTCCCTATATATTTTAATTACTTGTCCTACTATTATACTACAGTGCTTTAATTTTAAATGAAAGATAATAGCTGCCTTATCTCTAAGGAAACTGGTCTTGATTTTATTAACTTACAGGACAGAAGAATAATTGGCACATATCATTGTCCAGAAATGTATTCAACAAAGGTATCTTTCATTGTTTTCTAATGTTTTTATCCTCAGAGAACGTAAAATTTAGGTCTTGACCGGTTATGGTCATTAAAGATCCCATGGCACTTTTTTATAGTGTGGTCATCTCAACCTCGAGCACCTGGCCAAATACCAATTTATGTAACTGTTCTGCTTACCCAACATTCCCCACCACCACTCACCCACCCCATAGTTTTAATTGGCTACAACATTCTCCATTTCCTCGACTAAAATAAAGTGTGTTGTTCTGCACTGTCAGTCACCACATTTCACCTCAGAGGTGATTGTGCTTCACTGGGAAGTGAAGTGGTTCTTCTTTCTAATGCTTGTAAAGCGCTTTGGGATCCTTTTGAAAGGGTGGTGCTGTTTACAATAAATGTAGTTCACTGTCATTCTATCTCAGGTGTCACTTTGTTACAAAAGCATGTTTTAGTTAGAGTTGGGCGAATCTGCTGGGTGGAAAAAACTGTCACAGCTCTCTCCAATTTGACAGGGAACCTTTTGACAAAGGTCCTAGAGTTAGATTCCTTCCTTCCTTCCTTCCTTCCTTCCTTCCTTCCTTCCTTCCTTCCTTCCTTCCTTCCTTCCTTCCTCCCTTCCTCCCTTCCTCCCTTCCTCCCTTCCTCCCTTCCTCCCTTCCTTCCTTCCTTTTGGAAATTCAAAATATCTTGAGAAAATGCATTTATTCTTATGGTCAGTTCATTGTTCCAGATGCAGAAGGGTCAAATTAGTTCTCAAGAAGCAGCTGAACTTTGAGGTGTTTTTCTGGGTATTGTAACACTTGAAGATTCGCCCATCTCTAATATTTACTGTATTTTGCATTATTTCTTCTGAAAAATAAGTCTTGGAATATTGAAAAATGCAATGCTCTGCTTCAACTCTGATATGAGTGTAATATGTACAGAAGAAGACATTTTTCCCTAGAGGATAGTTTAGAATATTGCTTAATGTTTTTTCTGCCCAGCATCACTAATCTTACTAACTGCTTCCAAGTTTATAGACATCTGCAGCATTTTGCTGCATTAAGAAAAAAAGTTGACTGGAGTGATATCATGTTGCTAAAACATGTTTGTGTCTAACTCTAGCAGACTAAAATAGCCTCTCTTGCATGTGTGCTGCATAGAATGTATGCAAATATGTAAAGAGCACTCAAATTTCTAATATCATTGCAGATCAAAAGGATAAAATGCTTAAAGTAAATTCATCCTAAGAAGATTTAAGATGTGAAAAAAATTGTTGGCACTAAAATATTTTCAAAAATAGTATCCTAGAATGCACAACACTGAGGTGAAAAATAACCCAGGCTCTGGGCTAAAGGGTAAACCCATTACATTAGTGGATGTTATATCCAACTTCCCCTGATGTCACTGGAACTAAAACTTCTTTTCTTGAGGTCATATGAAAATATAGAAAATGTAGTTTCCAAATGACTTTGCACCCCTCATGTAGGAAACTTACCTCTTAGATTTTAGACATTTTGGGATCAATGAATGCCAAGTGCCTGTAATTAATTGTTTTATTTTTAGGACCCTGAGAGTCTTACAATTGGTCTGAGATCTAATAACAAACATGAGACCCCTTTTGTTTTACCCCAAAAAATCACAAAAGAATTTTCCAGATAAATACACTCATTAGAAAATAATGTTTGAAGTCCATCTTGATGTTTCATTGATCTCTTTGAAAGCTTTTGCAGATATATGCTTTGTTGGAATAACAATAGCAGAATACTACTGTTACCTGTCCTATGCAGATAAGAACAGATTTGATGGCCTTCCTGGATAGAAGCAATATTCCCTCACTATGCTCAGTATCATGCTACAAATCTCTTAAAGGAATTTTTCTGGAGTTCCAGCTCAGCTTTCAAATTTTTCCAGTGCTTTTCAAGTAAAGATTGAATTCCCACACTATGAATTTCATACATTTCATGTGGCTCTCATGAAAAGCTAACAAAAAAAAAGACTTTGTTTCACATTGAGTTATGACATTTGATTTGTAATTAAAATACAATGAAGCTAGAGGGGTGCAAACTCACACAGATCGGAGGAAAAAGTGAGAGAGAGGGAAATCTGTCATCTCAGCAACACTAGGTTTTGTGCATCACTTGAACAGATGTAATCACTCAAATGACAGTGTTTCAGTAGGTCCAAAGTGCCTTTGTGAGTGCCTGACTTCTCAGTTCAGAACACTGGGCAGGGGGTGCTACTAAAAAGCAACTGGTTATAACCCAGTTCTCTCATCTCACCATGGTAAATATTACATAGGGGGTTTAATAATGGTGAACACAGTCTGCTCTGGGCAGTGCAGGGTGGTACGTGCTGCAGACTGCTGGTTTCTAAATATTACAGAATATACTGATACCCTGTTTTTGTTTAGAAATCCACAAAGGCCACAGTTTTTGCACTTTGAGTACTAATCATAGAATATATTCTCTGTACATGATAAATGAATAATGTGGCTGAGTTATTCTTAAAGGAGCTCTGGGACAGTTTTTTCTCTTAATTGGCCTGGAGTATATCTGCACTACCATCACTAATCCAATGTAATTAACTAGCTTCTCATTAGCTCTTATTGTTTTTAAGAACTTTTAGTTAATTATAATCTGTTATCACACAATTCAAAATGCATGCTTAGAGAAATGGCTGAGAAGAATTAGGACTTCCCTAAATAACTTTTGTTTTCTATAAATGGATTCTTTTTAAAATCTACTTCCACACTCCAGATCTTCTCCAGATTGCCTAAGAGTGGAACTTAGTTCCTTATCTTTGAAATCCTCTTGTCTAAGGGGTTTCTCTACAATATAGTTTTCATTTTTTTTTCACTGAATTGCCTTTAAAGAGTGCATAGCAGCTAAATCTACCCATTGAAACAACTGTTCAATGTACATTTGATGTGATTACATTCTGCACATCTTTTCCCTTGCTTGAAATTGCAGATCTCTGCTATTACAGCAGCATGCTATTACAGCATGCACTGTATTGAAGAAATTTATTAGTACTAGGGCATGGAGTTTCCACACAGCTGTAGCTAGACTATGCCATTGCCTTTCCCCAAGTAACCAGCACTCCTGTTTGGAATATGGGGACCTAAAATGTGCATTCTCTTGTGCAGTGCTCTGTATCTCATTCATGGAGGTGGTGAGACCTCGTGAATAATAGAAGTTTATGTCAGAGCCAAAGCTTTCATTTGAAAGAAGAAAAACCAAAACAAAGCACATCTTTTTCCACTCAATTTCCTTCCAAAACCCCTGAAAATTTCAATATTTGCCCCACATCTCCTACTCAGTGACAGAATGCCACTTTCAGGAGCTGAGTGTATTCTCTGTTCCCAGGTATTGCTTGTGCTTGCTGACCATTGGGTCCAGGGAAATACGATTTATTGCAGTATACTATGCTGGCCCTATTTCTCCGTGAGGTCACAAATAAATTATAATAAATATAATCACAGCTATGCTTAGAGTCTTTCAGGCTGACATCCAATCAATTAGTAATGCTAGATATGGCCCTTATCAGCATGGCTTCAGTTTGCAGCTGACTGGGCTTCCTTTCCCCTCTGCTAAACCCGCCGTCTTATTTTTTACAGATGGACCCACACGAAAACATATTGTTGAGCACGCTGGAAATTAAAAACGAGATGGCTGCCTCGGAGGCTGTGATGGGGCTTGGGGACCCTAGGAGCACAATGCTGGCCTATGACACTTCGAGCATCCAGTACCGCAAAGCCGGCTTGCCCAGGCACAGCTTCGGCCGCAATGCCCTGGAGCGGCACGTGGCACAGAAGAAGAGCCGGCTACGGAGACGCGCGTCCCAGCTGAAAATCACCATCCCTGACTTGACTGATGTCAATGCCATAGATCGATGGTCTCGCATATTCTTCCCTGTTGTTTTTTCCTTCTTCAATATTGTCTATTGGCTTTACTATGTGAACTAAGAAACAAAGCCACGCAGGAGGAAAGAACTGGATTTCTCTTCAAATCAGTTGTACAGCCAAAAGTGGGACTTGGAAAAATTCTATTCAGGACAAAAAGTTATTTTAAAACACCTTAGTTGCTGGCCCACTCTATGGTCTGTTTTTATAATGTTTTGGTTGTATCTGCTAAACCATATATATGTTAAGTTGCAGTATGGACATATCCCCTTATCAAAATATAAGTGCATTTTGAGTGTAAAGGCAAATTGCGTTTTGAAAATCACTTCTGTCACATTGTCCCTCACTTTTTTTTTTTTTTTTTTTTCCAATGGCCATTTGAGTTTAGTGGTACAAATTATAGAGCAGCATTTGAGAAACAAGTCTTAATTTCAACAGCAGTACATGCCATTCCAGGGAAAGTACATATCCAAGGCATGCATATACACTTAAGAGAGTGTACTGAGTTATGCTTATGAAACATATACACTTTACTTTTTAAATGTGTAAACTTGAAAACAAGTAGTGCCTATCATCTTTCCAAGATGATGATGGTCAGAGGTTTCCCAACCATATTCAGGTATTTCCTTTTATTTATTGAAAGAACTGAACCTTTGACTGATAATAATGGGGTTGGGTGTTTGCACAGAAGCTGAAGCAAGAAGCACTAGTTTGTTTGTATTTCAAAGAGAGGACATATGCTCAGTCACAGTGACTGTGCTTGGGATCAGTAGAGGAATGTAGGGACTGTATAAAAATGCATCTGCACTGAGCAGGTAGATGCTGCTGGGTTGTGCTGAGGAAAGGGAATCTGTCCAAAGTGCCAAAATTAATTGCCCAAATAGTAATTCTGTGGATGGCTGAAGGAAGCTATTGGTGCCCTGCCTTTCTCTAGGGCAGGGAGAGTGAGAGAGCAGTTTCAAAGTGCAGGGGCAAGGAGACAGGAGGCTACATATAAATAAAAGTGTGTGTGTGTGTGTATATATATATATATATATATATATGTATGTATATACACAGTGCAGATGAATGTTGTCAGCTGTACACACATTAGTCTGAAATAGTCGTGTGGAGTTGTGTGATTTCTTCCAGGTTTTCATCTTTCCAGCATTATGCTTCCTGCTGTTGGTTAAAGGTTCTGTACCTCTTTCAGCAGTTGAGATCTGAACGTATATATTTCTGTGCAAGAGGTACTGACAGGGTCTTTTCTCAGTCTGGATTAGGCAATACCATTTCATTTTTTGTTTTCCTTAATGCACTGTTCTAAAGGAAAGAAATTCATAGCAATCACTTTAAGAGTGTAAGTACACTCTTGAATGTTTCCTGCTTTAGGGTGTTTTCTCTTGAAAAACTAGTACATTTGTTTTTCTTTGAGAAGCTTCTTGAATTAAAAGGTTGAGGTTTTTTTCATTCCGTTGAGCTTTGTTTTTAAAAAATAGCAAAATAGAATAGAAAAAAAAATTTAGACAAAAATTTTTGTCACTTATTCCACTGTGGAACTCTTTTTGTAATGAAAATAGCAGTCACAAGAACTGTAACAAAAAAGTAAAAATTCTTGATGGCTTTTACTAGGTCAGATCCCCAGTGTTGTTTGACACAATGTTTCAAGAAGCAAGAGCCACATCTGTTGCATCCATGCTACCTCTCATCCGTGTACAAATTTTTGAAAGAGACTAGAGAGTATAAGTGGTTTTTCAGGGTACTAAAAAAAAAATCTTTAGAATATTTTTCATAAAATATATTTTTAAATTTTTTTGTTCTTCAAAAGAGTAATTTTCTTACAAGTTTCTGTGGTTTTATTTTTGGTGTGTCCCCCCCCCCCCCCCCCCCAGTTTGACAGTGAATGACACTAATAGGAGGAGAATAGTTCTGGGAACTAATAGGCAAATATTCTGACTTTTTTTCTGAGCACTTTATATGCTTATTTGTGGTTCAAATAAGAGAGGATCATTTCAGAGCCTGGGATGGGATTTGCAATACACCCTACCTGCCGGGAAGTTGTGTGCATTCACACACTGCCTCCAGGCTCAGACTCTGCAATATGTAGAGACAGGTTTTCCTCATGTGATTAACTTTCCAAGTCAAAATTTTGCTCTTTGTTCACATATTCAATTTGTGACTGCATTTCATGCATAACGCAATAACCTTTGTAGATGCACTTGGGATTTCAGCTGATAGGTATGAGTCATGTTGGGTTTTTTTTTCCCCAATTTTAAGAAATGGAACATATCAAAATTCAGTATTTCTCTTCAAAGTATGTTCTTTAAAAATTATATTAATTATCCTAAATGAAAGCAGTCTTAAGGTATTCTTCTGTACAAGCTTTTCTTTCATTTCAGAAATTGCTGACAGCTCCTTTTATTGTTTCACAGACGCAGAGTGTGACTGCAGGGAGCTCACAGCCTTTCTGTGGTTGATACACATCAAATATAAAACCTTACAGGGAATGTGTTGACTCTCTGCATTGGTAACTGCTTCAGCTGTTACAAAAATCACAGAGATCGAATCCTGGAACTGCACATTCACTTTTCTGAAGCTACAGTACAAGCCATAATACTCTCTGATATTGCTACTCAGAGAGTGAAAGAAAATGTTTGGTTTCTGCTCAGGTGTCACTAGGAAAGATAAATTATCTGTGGGGAAGGAGCACTTTTGCTTTTACTATGTTCTTCTGGCTATTAATGTGATGTATAAAATTAGTGCAAGAGAAAGATTCTACCATTTTGTACTAAGGCTTAACACTGTGATATAAAAAGATGGGGGTGAGAAAGGCTGGTGAGGCACTACCAAGGAAAAAGCAGAACTCGAGCCCCAGGTAAGCACTTACTCCTGAGATACTTGAGTGAAAGTGGGAAATGATGCCAACAGTCATGAGATATGGGGTTTGCTATGTGTGCTACCCTCCAGGTAAACTAGAATAAATTTGCTTTTACTTTAGAATTGACCGAAAATCAATATTCTAGATCTTTTTAATCGTGTTAATTGTTGTTGGTTTCAATAGAAAAGTTAATAATTTAGATAAAAACTTGTAATATAATTATAGTTGCACATTTTATTGTTCTATTAGACATAATAGCCAGCAATTAAGGTGTTTTTCATCTCTGCGAAATTCATGGGGGAATTATGACTATAACATGGCACAGTTTTAATGAAATCTTTGAGATCAATCTGTAAATATATACTGTACATGACTGCTAGTAAGTATGATACACATTTTCAGAACTGAAAATTCATGCAACATATTTCTGTGTTTGCATAAGGAATGTTATGTTTCTATCCTATCGCAGTTCGGTGACTGGGAAGAAAGACTCAAGCAATGACATTGTGACCATTTCTTTTCTCATTCCCAGGGGAGGAAAACAAGAGTCCTAGATAACAGCATGTAGCAGAGTTCTTCAGAGAGTTCTTACATTCTAATAAAAAAAGACATAAAATCTGTAAGGTACAAAAGCACAATGCATAGAGAAAATAAGTGGTGGTCTTATACCTGGGGAAAATATCCTATTTATTTCAGAAAAACATGCATTAAAATTTAAAACCTCAATTTATTTTCACTATAAATATTAGACTGTGTTCCAATCCTATAACACAGTGCTAAACATAAGTGAACAGACGTGAAACATTTTCCAACTGTATGTGCATATGGACGTACCCCCAAATGTCTGTATGGACATATGTGTGTATATATACACGTGCTGAGTATATATATATATATATGCACACACATTCACATGTTGGTGTGTTAAAGGAATAAGCTAATAATAGTTTTGTTTCTATCATCAACCAGTGTATGAATATATTTTTGAGAAAAAAAAATAAAGAGTAATGTATTTAGAAAAAAACCAAACAACTAACTCGACAGGGTAACTGGGCATTTCTATATCAGCAGATCAATGCTTATGATTGGTATGGAGTATTGCACCGTTTGACATGATGATAGTACTGTACCTCCTTGCATCTGGAATTAGACTAGTCCTCACATTGCTTGCCTATTTCTTCTCTCTCTTTTTATAACAGCATTGTCCACTAGTAAGTTTTCAAAACCAACAAATTCCTTAGGGAACCAAGAAAAAAAAAAAAAGGCAAAAATAGTAACTATTTCTAGAAAAATAATCTAGGGTGGGATGGCCAGGGTACAATACTATATCAGTAGTGATCAAAACATTTTGCTATGTGTACATAGAACATACGATGTGAGCAACCATAACTTAAGCTGAACGTGTGTAAATATTATCAGATTTCTTAAACATTTTTAACTTCTAATTTGTACTTTATGGTAAGGCAAAAAGCTAATTCTACTTATGGTTTAGGTTAATGTGTCCTAAAATTATGTAAATAATTAAATAAGCTGTAAATGAGCAGTCAATAGATACAGTATTTGTTTAGTGACTTTTTTTTACTAAGTACAATAATTGCAGTGCTCTAGCAGAGTAATTTAAACACCCTTTTGCATAAACAGATTTGGACTCCAGATATAAAATAGTACAGGAAGTGCTGTAGTGTAAAATAGCCACCATGGCTATGTTCCTGCTGGCACAGCTGATTCTTTTGTATGGTTAAGATGTTCAGGCCACACTCAGTACTCAGACTAGCCAAAACAAACAGGGCCTGGTTTTCACTTACAAAGAGGCACCTTGATGTTGCTCCAGTGAGTGGAGAGGTGAAGGTGTCCAGGTAAGTGAGAATTCAGCTGTCGGCGATTTCATTACAGAAGCCTGCATATTGCATCTGTCTGATTCTGAAATCTGTCTCTTATGGTATTTAATAGTAGGCTTATATTTTTCTTTAAGAAAAAAAAAAAATCCAGGATGTTTGACTGTCGTTAGCATAGTCCCCCAAAGCCAAAGAATCTTCACTCCAGAAATTGTTTAAAAGGGAAATCTAAAAAGTCACTGCTTAACACCAAAGGTAAAGCTTAGTAAAATGCACTAGGAACTTTGTCTAAATTTTTAAGAAGCAAATGGAATGTTGTTGATCAAAAAGACTGCCCTATTCTACTTTGTAAAAATACTAAGAATTTAAATATCCATTATATAAAATTGAAATAGATAATCTCTACAAGAATATGCAACACTAGCATTTC